TGGTAGAACATGATGTCTCCTGTCTCCAGATGTACAAACGCCAGCCTCGCCAACTTCAGAAGAACATCCCTGTCATCCTCCATCAGCTCCTGTGGACTCGCTCCACGTCCCTCACTGTACTTGTGCTTCTTCCTCTTGGTCTGAACCAGCAGGAAGTGTGAGTACAGGTCCGTCAGGGTCTTGGGCAGCTCTCCTCTCTGCTTTGTAGTCAACATGTGCTCCAGAACTGTAGCAGTGATCCAGCAGAAGACAGGGACTTGACACATGATGTGGAGGCTCCTGGAGGCCTTGATGTGGGAGATGATCCTGCTGGACAGCTCTTCATCACCGGACCTCTTCTTGAAGTACTCGTCCTTCTGGGCGTCGGAGCCTCGTACTTCTGTCACCCTGTCGACACATGCCGGAGGGATCTGATTGGCTGCTGCGGGTCGGGAAGTGATCCAGACAAGAGCTGAGGGAAGCAGGTTCCCCTGGATGAGGTTTGTCACCAACATGCTGACCGAGGACTTCTGGGTGACATCGGACACAACATCCCTGCTGCTGAAATCCAGTGAAAGTCTGCTTTCATCCAGGCCGTCAAAGATGAACAGAGCTTTACAGACATTCATGTGAAAGCCTACAGGAAACACTCTGGACTTATAAAATAAAAGCCCAGTGAGTCATTAACAATGAATCATTACTTCATTCACAAACACTGCTGACCAAATGTGTTAGAATTAAACCATCCGACATTTTGGATCCAAAACCTTTTCCCAGTAGAACGGAGCCTGAACTGTTGCACAGGCCACAGTTATTATTTCAGAACGTCTGAGTTCAGGAAGTAAACAGTAGCAGCACATGAACATGTGAAGAAAGACTCGTTGTTCATATGTGTTTGCTGCAGAGGTTGGATCGACGTCTTTTCCCCACACAAACAAACACAACGGCTCATTTGCATCAAACAGTGTCGGTTCCTGTAAAACACTGTGTTCTGAAGCTGCTTTTCATTTTTATATCAATGTGTTTATTATGTACCAAACATTAGAAACAGTGACTTCATGTCACAGCACGTTGGAGATAAATCCACAGTTTTTTCACAACCATCAATCCAGTTTGATGACTCAGCAAAACCAATGAACTGAAGAACATTAAAAACTTCTGTTGATATAAAATGTACAATAGCAGAAAAATGAACTGACCTCAGAGTCTCCAGTCGACAGTGTGGACTCTCCAGTCCAGCACACAGCTGCTTCACTCATGAGTCTTTCAGGTCCCAGTTTCCACTCAGGTCCAATTGTCTCAGATGGGAGGGGTTGGACTTCAGAGCTGAGGCCACGACTTCACAGTGAGTCTCTGAGAGATGACATCCAGAAAGTCTGTGGTGACAGAAATTAATTTTAAAATCTGATCAAATCTGAGACTTGGAATAAAACCAGCCTTGATTCATTTGATCCCAAAGCAGATTGACATGAGTAGCTGTAGCTCAGGTGGTCAGTAGGTCGGTAGGTCGGCTGTTAATCACAAAGACTGTGGTTGGAAACCTGAGCTCCTCCTGTCCACATGTCAAAGTGTCCTTGAGCAACATGACAAAACCCAAAGACTTTAGACAGAAGTGTCCAGATGAAGCGTCAAACTCTGATTTACAGGGGGCTGTGATTGGTCAGATGCATTTTAACCTTTATTCAGCTGTAACATCACGTTAGGCTGGAACTGCACTCATGTATTTACCTTAGTGATGTGTCTATGCTGGATGTCTTTAATGTGTCTCATTATGTGGCTGCGTCTCCTTTTCATCTTCCATTAAACGGACTCAACGACTCCTATTGCATTAACACTACAACCAGTAGGTTAGAAGGATATATTATTCTAAGGTCATGTCTGACAGTCATGGTCATGTGGAGCTGAACTGGCTGAAGTCAGCGCTGTGGAAACAACC